TCTCAGAAGGCAAACAGGTAAAACCAGCACTTTCCCACACATTCTCAGCAATGGACAGAAAACCAAACCATTACAAAACAGGACAATAAAATAGGATTATCTTCTGCTTACTACAAGACTTACTTCCTGATCCAAGAATCTACCACCAGCATCATACACTCCTGGACTTCCTTTACCCTGTCTTCATTCTTCAACAGCACTTCTGGAAAAATCCTCCTCCAGTAGTGAAAGTTTCAACAGCTTAGATAAATGCCAAATATTAAAGCTACTGGTCTAATCAGAAAGGTTCTCATTATACACCAACCTCAAGTTAGTCCATGTTCAAGACATTTTTGAACAAGTCATCAGGTCATGAACACAACCTTAGCTAATGAGCAGATCAATGCTGTTACACAAGAGACAAGGACTCACTGCACGAATGAATTCTGCAGTTGAACCATCATAGCCCATGAACTGGAACATATCATCCAATGTGGATGAGGGCTACTTTTGTACAAGATTTTAAATTCTGCCTTAACAAGTAATACAAGTTATTGCAGAAAAGCTTACAGCCCTCTGATGTACAAAGGCATTCAACTGAGCCATGTTCTGTTTTAAAGCTTGCCTATTCTGTACTAATTAGGTCCATTTGAGAGGGCACAAAATCCAACTTCATAAACTCCATACAGATGGTAAAAGCATCCTCTGAAAGAAAGGATGGACAATCCCATATACTGTATGAAGTTCCTTGCATCTTATGGCAAATTATATCCTGGCAAAACCACTGAGCAATCCTCTTACTTTATGTGAAATATTAAAACAAACCTGATGGAACTGCATGTGTCTGCCCCTTAAAACACTTTCCATGTCTACTACCCACTAATGCAGGCACTGTGTTCTGATTATGTGAATTTTGTCAAATTTATACCTTACAGAAAAAAAGTGTTTTCATTAAATTTCCCTTCCAACAACTTCTTGAAAATAAACAAAAGTCCCAACATCCTCTGAATGCAAATTTTCCTCTATTTTTTTCTAGTAATATCCAACAAAATAAATACAGTTGCACTATTTTTTTCATTTGTGGTAGTGTTTTGGATAAACTGAACAATCAATCCTCTGTGATTGGGGGTCCTCCCTCACACAAAGCCTTGATAAATACATATTTACAGTTCAGTTGCTGCTTTCCAGAAAGAGTTCCAGTACAGCACATGGCCCCTCTCTTTATACATCAGCATTAATGAGATAAGCATTTTTAAAGTGTAAACAAAAATTAATATACATTTTTATTTAAAATCTGAGCTCAAACTCATGTTGCTCTCTGCTTTTCGAAACAGCTGCAGTCCAGCTGTGTGATGTGTATTAACACATCATTGGTGATGATTATCTATCAGATTACTGAAACAAGGAAGTGCTGCACATGTATGTCTTGCTGAGGTACAATCATGCTGTTAGAACTGTCCAAAAAATACAGGATATAATTATCTTTTGCTCTTAATGAAGGGGATTGATAATTCCTTCTATGAGGTAACGTGACTAGTTCCCTAAAATAGCTGTACTAAGGAGCTGGAATTTCAACCCATCAGTAAGGGTATTTTTAGTGAAGTTTTAATAAAAACTGGTATCACTCACACTAATCATCTATTCATGAGATCACAGGTTTTTCCTAGAAACTTACAACTCTCAGCTCTAAAAGAGCTTCTATTAATAGTGCAAAGCAATACCACCCTTCCAAAAATAGAATTCAAGCCCAATTATTATTTTTTTTGCTAGCAGCACTTCAGACAGCAATAAAATGAAATGCAGATACATGTTTTTCCCTGTACACTTTGTAGAAGTGGCAGTCATGCAGGAGATTTTCAAAATTTAAAAAATAGGATTATAAGACCATAAAATTGACCCAGGGCCTTTGGGCATACAGAGTACTTATAGTTATAATTAATTTTTTCATGTGACAAGATTTCAAAACTGACTGTGGAACTCTAAAAGCTGTTTCAAATTTTCTCTATTCCAATATAGCAGTTCTAATCACAAACTAAAAGTCTTAGCATTGAGTTCAAAATTAAAACTACTTCAGCACACATTAATAAGTAGTATATTCTAACTTTTGGTAAGCTCTTTTATACCAGAGGCATACTCAGCCCTCATCCAAGCAGGACAGGGCAGATTGCTCTACCATCACACCACCTAACCAGGCGGAGGCTGTCAGGGTGTTTCAGGGCTCCCACATTTCCATCAGTGACACAAATGTGGCTTCAGAGCATGTCCCTGCTTACCAAACCACACTGAACTCAGACCCTTCACCATAGCCTTTTCTCCAGTTCTTCCTGACACCAGCAATACTCTGACAGGTAAACAGTCCCAGTACTGAAACCCAGAATTGCCAGAAAGAAGTTTAATGGTGTAACAGTTATTTCTGTGCATCAGTACCATACATAAACACACACACATATATATATGTACATACACACCAGATATATATACACCATAGCACTATATACCCAAGCAGGTTCTGCACAGGAAGGGGCAAGACATGTTCCTACTGGGTAGGTAAATTCAAGATGTGGTTCAGTGTTGTCCTTAATTACTAGGCTAGAGCCAGGAAGAAGGGCATCATTTAAAATTCAGCATAATCAAAAGCAAATAAAGAAACACTGGAACAGGGGGAACACATGCACAAAGATGCTGTTTACAACTCTAATGTTAAACAGTATTTTAAAAACACAATGTAGATGCTGCTTAATTATCAAACTGAGATTTAAAACAGGACATATTTTTACAGCATCAAATTTTCCTCACAGATACAAGACCTGTGTACTGGCTTTCAGGATTTCACAAACAGGGTCAACTCATATTTAACCAAAACAGCTGCCAACTATAAGCTGTAAATGCAGAAGCAAAACATGAGAACACGTGTCAAGAGAAAAGAATTTGAAGTTAAAACTAAACTGAGGCTGCAGTTCTGGGCAACAAGGCAAAGCAATTATACATGTGGTAAATGGGAGAAAAATTAAATTACCACAGGGCAGATCTGACATTTGTACTAGCAGTGGTGCTACAGATCATTAGTCATAGGCATTTTACACCAAGCGCTACAGAAGATAATTTAAGCACTGATGACACCAGCTCCTTCCTATCTATTGCCCTAGTGACATTAGTTTTTCAATTAAAGGGGTTACTTCTTCCAGAAGTGACCTCTCAGACATTTTACATGTTAATGTTTGAGCAACCAAGCACTACTTGCACCAGCTTTTTAAATAAAACCTCACAGTTTTATTATTAAAGTACATCTATATTTTATGGCGTGTTAGAACAGCAGCTACATGCAAAGTCCTAACAAGTAAATTAAATTTTAAATCCCCAATGAATTTTAATATTGTGTCCTTTTAAAGTATAAATAATTTAGCATTTTCACAATTTCACCAGCTAAAACCTAAATATTTTTTTCCATTTATGCTGTAATTAAGATCTATTAATTCGTCTCTATCCCTGTATAGCTTGGATTTCTTAAAATTCACACCTCTTTCAAATCAGAAAGAATTGTCAAAAAAGTAACTCAGAAAACTATTTTGGGTGGTGTATGGGAGGCTATCCTGCATTTGTTTTGCAGTTTCAAATTCTGAGTTACCTAAAGAAATAAGCATACATACTGTATGCATGAGTTAACATGCAGCCTCTAAAGCTGAGCTGAGGGTACAGCTGGGAGGCAAATCTCACAAGGCACATGCTCTGTGAGAAGCCCAGCTGGTACCAGCACAGGTCTGAATTGCTCCTGTAGGGACCAAGATGCAAAACGAAAGACAAATGAGTTTTCCAGGGAGAGCAACAGTTACGTGGGCACTGCTGCCACCTCACGGCCAAACCTCGGAACTGCTGCTCCCCGCCCAGCGCCGCCCCGCGAGCCTCTCATCCTCGCCTGCTAGCCCAACGATTCCCCACAATGACTTCCACCGAAAAGAAGACTAGAAGGAACTTATAGCATTCGGATCTTGCTGATTGTCTCTTCCAAGCGTGAGCCACCAGTTGTCAGAACATTTCAGTGTTGTAGAGTTCCGCCAAACCAACTCTCAAAGACAACAGAAAATGTTGTAACTGCTGGTTCAGGTAGCTGAAGTCTAACTGATGTGCCAACAAAGGCTGAAACAGTTCCTTTTCTGAAACGCCCTCCTCAAAACATCCTCCCACAAAGCCTGCTTTTGGAAAACTGGACTCAGCACACCACCCTGCCACCTGCAGGGGCTCAGCAGGCACCAAGCAGGATCCTCATACCAAAGAGACATGGTGAGTTAAGTCACAACAGAAAGGGGAGTTCCATAATTCCTCACACAGAACAAGCAGGAGTCTACATTCATTCCTGC